AGAACAAAAGTCTTCCAGGTTCACAATACACTTTCATCAATGGCTCAGACATGCAAATGATGGACTATCAGAAAAAGTGACACCATTTGAACATGATCAGCATTTAAAATTTGTGACCAGGATTACTCATGAATTTCACAAACTTCCTCACATCATCTGGTGTCACAAACTGGAGCCCTTCCATTTTTTAAAATTTATTTATTTTTTAACTGAAAATACAAGATATTTGCACAAAATCATGTTAAAAATCCCATTCCAATCATCAGCCAGCGGATGTCTTTAAGTAGATGATGACCCATCAATGACACTCCTGATTGAAGCTCCACTTTCCTTGAGATCTACCAGTCTTTCCCCAATGTTCTTACCAACACACTGCAGTATTAAAAATGTTAAAAAAATATATTCCATCATAGCAATATTTATCTACAGACCTGAGGAGAAGCATGTGGTTTTGCAAGCAGGCTCCTCAAAAGGTAGAGTGATGATAAAAAGAATTCACAAGTCCTCTCCTGAAAGTGGTCATATGTCAATTTAGCCTGGCTGACTCAATCTCCTCACCCCAGGAGCTGAAAGTTTGGGGATATTTCTCAGAATATTACAAAAAATAATGACCTTAAATCTCACAGTCACTTATCAGGGTTGAAATTACACACTCAGGACTTCGATTAAAAGCTCTTGTTGTGACAGCAGGTGGTAATCCCATGGGCTTGTGTGACTAAAATGTTAAAGAGCAGACAAAATTCCTAAGCAAACTGAATTTTGACTCATCCACCTTTTGGGAAGGTGGAGTCGGTATAATGAAGCCAGGCATGTTTAATAAATGCAAACCAAAAAAGATGAAAGAGACACCATGGATGGTGGTTTTCATCCAACGCCAGGAGAAATCCAGGCAATAAACATAAACAGTAAACAAAACCATTTCACTAGTGGGAACCCAGCCATATGCAAATAAATAAATAAATAAATTAATGCAGGAACTAGTTAATAAAGGTGCAAGAATGTCTCAGCTCCTGCAGGCAGCCTGAGAAAGCTATAAAAGCTCTTCCAGAGCCTTCCTGCCTCTTCCCTTACCCCTGTGTGCACAGCAGATGCTACGATTCTACTTTCAAATTTACAACATTTGGTATTGAAATACATTTTCCCTGACAGCAATAGCAAATATTTAGTGTTCTGTAACAACAACTCATATTATTAATGTTATTTAAACAACTCATGGGTTTAAGCTGAAAGAGGGGAGGTTTAGATGAGATATTAGGAAGAAGTTCTTCACTGTGAAGGAGGTCAGACACTGGAACAGGTTGCCCAAGGAAGTTGTGGATGCCCCCTCCCTGGAAGTGTTGAAGGCCAGGCTGGATGAGGCTTTGAGCAACCTGGTCTAGTGGAAGGTGTCCCTGCTGATGGCAGGGGGGTTGGGACTGGATGATCTTTAAGGTCCCTTCCAATCCAAACCATTCTATGATTCTATTCTTTTTGTTTTTTCCTATGGGACCAACTTGTTCTGGTTATTCAGCGATAAATATTAACAGAGACGAGTTTATCAGTTGAGAAAGGGAAGATGTGGACAGTTGTTTTGTTCAGAGTGTGTGTTCTGGACCATGAACTGCTTTTTTATTGTCTAGTACTGTGTGTTACTGCACACGCTGCCCAATTACATAGACCCTGGTCTGATATGAAATGATATTCCCAAAGCAAACACCGTAACAACTTGAAAGTCAGCCCCTGAGCTTGTCTTACCTAGAAAACATGCTCTGTAACATGAGGATCTAACTCCTATTCTGCAGCAGTGAATAAACCACTTTCTGATTCACCTCAAAACCTATCATTTATTTTGGGACCACGCTAGACTTGTTGCTGTGATAAGTTTTAACCCCAAAAAGACAGGGATGAAGGGGGAAATGAAGCTCAAGGCTTGGGTTTGCTTTCTGGTTTGAAGAAGTGAGTTGCATACCAGATCTTTCTGCTACCATTTCTTGAAGGAAAGATCTCAACCTTGGAAAGTATCTCCATGCACCAGGGGTTACATCTGCAGAGAGGTTTGGTGCACTTTTTTCTTCTAAGTTTTAGAAGAAAACTTAACAGAGAATTGCAGAAAGGGATTGGAAGAGGGAGAGAATGTGCTTTGTCATGAAAAATGTCATTATTCATCCACCTGAAGATACCTTCAGTGTAGTGCCTCAGCCATAACTCCTTCCAACCATAAAAATACTGTGGAATTTTAACTTCTCTGCTGTGTTAAATATACAGGGTGAGCTCCACAGGTTGATGGTTGATCTCCATAAAATGAAACTATTTTGCAACAACTGCAAATGGATGATGACTTCTTTGGAATGCAGCCTCTTTGATTAAGCAATAGCTTCAGTTGAGATGGCAAAAAAGTATATTACACATTTAATTCAGTCCAACCTTCTGCTGTTGGACTGAATTAAATCAAACTGCTCACTTTGCCTTCTCTTCTGTTGTTTATTAAGAAAACCTACTCCTTAAAATTATTAATTCTCTCATGGAATTGATGTACCTCCTTTAATTTAGCTCTGCTAATGACCATGGGCAATAGAACTTTGTCAACATCTTTCCCTGACTTTAATTACAGTTCAACATCAATCTGGCCAGACATAGACAAAGACTCCAAGCAAAAAAAAATCATAGATATCAGGTTGTGAGTCGTATGGGTTGACAGGACATGGAATCTGGAAGAGCTTTTCAAACCTGGTAGAGCTTTTCAAACCTTCTGCCTTTAGGAATCAAAGCTCCCAGTCTCAAAACACTCCCTTTATCACAACACAGATGAGCAAGGTGGAACAAAGCAAAGCCCAATGAAGTTCATATTTATTAAGCACAACAGGTTGGAGTCAGTTTGTAAAGACACGTTGAGAAAGGGTTAGGACTTAAAATCTTGTAATCACTTTCTCCCAGATGTGCTTCCCAGTTGTGGTGGTTTCACTCCTTTGGTTGCAGCCAAACACAGTAGCTCTCTCATTCCTCCCTCTCCCAGGGAAAAGGGGAGGGAATTGGAAGGGTGAAAGTAAGAAAACTCGTGGGTTGAGATAAAAACAATTTATCAATTGAAATAAAATAATAATGATAATAACAGTAATAATAGAATATACAAATGAGTGATGCTCAGTGCAATTGCTCACCCCCCACTGACCAATGTCCAGCCCATGCCAGCCAGGAATCCTGGAACAGAGACAGTCCCAAAACTTCAATCCCAGAAGAGCGAGAGCCCAAGTGATCCCTCAGAGAATCCCCCTCAATTTCCAGTCAACCCTGGTTAATATACTGACCATGATGGGATATGAAATGGAATAATCTCATGGCACATCCAAATTCCAGTTCTGGGTTTTGCTAATTATGACGCTTCCCTCTCCCAATCCTTTGCACCTGCAAACTGGCAAAACGTGATGACCTTGGACATCCAGCAGCAACTAAAAACATCACCACCTCATCAACATTCTTCTCATAACAAATCCCACACTGAAACCAAACCACAGCTCTTCTGTCTACTAAGAAGAAAATTAGCTCTATCCTAGTGGAACCAGAACACCAGGCCAGCAAATTTTAAAGGCCGATTCCCTTGCACTAACACCACAAAGCCCTCTCTTCCTCCCCTCTGAGCCTTACCAGGGCCTGATCTCAGCTGCCAAGAGGTGCTGGACCCATCAGAAAGCTCTCAAAGGGCTGTACCAGCTTGGTGCCTCTGTCCCACCACCTCTACCCTGAGCACACTCAGCTCTGCTCAGGAAAAACATCATCTCTCCCTTCTTTTAAAGGGGTTTTCCTACGTATCACAGGTAGGGTCAAGAAAGCCACAATCTTCTTCTAGGTAATAGCACATAGGTCCTGTTTGTGCAGAAGCTGACAAAGGATGAGTGGAGGCAGTGCTTCAGAAAAAGGTTTCTCCCTATAATTTCTGATGTTCCTCGTGCCTGTGGATTTTCCTTCTCCATCTCTCTGTCCCCATTTCTACACAGATCCTCTTTGTCTGCTTCATCTACAGAAGGATAAGGAGAAAAGTGTTCCCCTCAGTGAGCTTTTCCCTGAAATTAGGCTATTCCACTTCTCATTGAAGGGGAGATGATCCCTCTTCTCAAATCAGTTTATTGCCCCGTTCTCATCCCTCTTCAAAGACATCCTCTCAAAACAAAAATTTTCTCATAAAAGAAAGATATTAAAATAATTAAAGGGCCTCTTCCCATCTCCATAGTACATTAGGGAAAGGATCTTTAAAGTGTAAACAGAAGCAGCTCTTCTGAACTTAAAGATTTCCTGCTTATGCAGCGACAGGAGACACCTCAATGCAGGTGAACATCAACTCTTTCCAGCCTTTGATAAATTGTCTCAGGCTGGATTTACCACATATAGACAAAAGAAAAAAAACCAACATTTTTTCCACAATTGAAATATGACTCGTTCTCGTTTGGCAATTGGCTTGAAGTTATTTGCATGGGGTGTTCTGGGGTTGATGACTTGCAAAGGGACTTGTTTCACCACAGACATGCTGGGAAAAGGGGTTGGGAGAAGAAAGAAATACAGGCAGACTCAGAATATGATGCAGCACAAATTTAATGAGGTTGAGGAATGGAAGGAAGCAATGTAAAGTGTAAGGAACACATTTCCATGGTCCACTGAGGACAGTACCCACTCATCCCTCTCACGACGACACACTCAGCAAAATGAGATCTTCATTGTTTCAGGGGACTGTACTAATTCAGTCATGCAGAACAATTTCTAATAGTGACATCTTCTACCTAGATATTGTCAAGTACAAAAAAAAGCGTAAGAGAACAAGACATTTGATCAGAAATATAATGCAAAGCATAACGAAAGTAAGACAAGCAAAGGCTTGATTTTAGGAGATGCCAAACTCTCACAGCTCCATGAATTCAAGTGGAGTTGTGGGTATCTAACATCACTTCTGAAAACCATGGCCATGAGCTCAGTCCTACATGGCGTCGTGCTTCAGTGTTCCCGGTCATTTCTTCTTCCTTGCTCCTCACGCTTTAGTATGGCCCATAGAAGCCGCTGCGGTAGTTGTTGTAGCGACGAAGGGCTCGGCGGTCCCCCCTGCCCAAGCCTGGGTAACCAAAGCTCCCAAATCCCAAGGAGCTGCCAGAGGAGATCGGGACCCCACCAGCACTGAGCGCGCTCCCGACAGCTGCAGATGCTGAGGATCCCACAGCGGTGTTCTGAGGGAAGGAGCTGAGGATGGGTCCAGGCAGGGTGACCACCACAGGAGAGGGTTGGATGACCACGGTGGAGTCCTGGCACTGCCTGACACAGGGCTCGTTGCAGCTGTTGGCAAGTGGGGTTGGTCCACAGGTGGTGGGTGGACACAGGTCATAGCAGGACATGGCTGTGGAGTTGAGGTAAATCTGAAACACACACACACACAAAAGAAAAATGCAATACAAGAATTTCAATAAAACTCTTTGTACAGGTAAAATTCCCTGATGAAGAGGGTGTGTAACAAACTGACAAGAGATTCCAGAGGGAGCAAGATGACATTTTTCACCAGATCCAGAGGACATACTTTGAAAATAAGAGGCTGAGCTTGCATTTTCTTTAAGGAGACTGGTAGGGAAGGTAGCACTGGTTCTTCTCAGTTGGTAACTTACCCTGAAGCCTCCATGGTTAGTCAACTCACAAGGGTGAGGGAGATTGGAACTAGATGACCTTTAGGGTCCCTTCCAACCCAAACCAGCCTGTGATTCTATGATTTTCCACTTTCTAAAACTGAGAGAAGGGATGTCCAAGATGGAACATACCCTGTTCATCCCAGGAACAAGGGTACATGCTGGTTCTGAAAGCCTCTTGACTGCCATTGCCCTGAGCACGTGGCCATAACCCTACCCATGGAAAAGACACTTCCAACACTTCCTCTGGCAGTTGTGGCTGCACACAGGAAAACTCTGAGGGCTCTACATGTCCTAGAGAAATGGATGTTGACTCTGTAGCCTTCAGATGAAGGTGCTCTGCTAGAAGGGTTAAGACTCAGCTTGTTAGTCCTGACTCAAGGCTTGCCTCTTTGCTAAACATTCAGTGATGACAAACATCTGACCTAATTAATCTTTCCCATTTCATTCCTCTCACTTCCTTTCATGCATATTCCATCTTGGACATCCCTTCTCCCAGTTTTAGAAAGTGGAAAATCATAGAATCACAGACTGATTTGGGTTGGAAGAGACCCTAAAGATCATCTAGTTCCAACCTCCCTACCATGAGCACCTTCCACTACACCAGGTTACTCAAAACCTCATCCAACCTGGAACAGAAGCTTAAACCTTTAAAATCTGTTCAATAAGATGTAGAAGGACAGGCAGCTGAATTCAGGAACACTTCTAGTTTTGTGTATTGCTGTTAATCACAGAATCATTAGCAGATCTCAGAAGCTACAGTGCAAATCTATCCACAGTTGTTTGGAGGATGGAGAAGCAACTGGTTAAAGATCAGCCCTTGCCTGCTGAAGAACCATGAATTGAGTTTCAAGGCAGGCATGGACTGATGATTGCTTTTTAAGTGGAGACCCAGGACTGCCAGTATTGGCCAGTATCCCCATGTTCTTCTGATCTTCTGGCCTCATCTGAATTTTCCACACACCAACACGGTGCTCTAAACAGACCCAAGAATTCACTACAGATATTTTACGTTCAGCTGCAGGACCTGAAAACCTACTCGGATCCCAAAGTTGAATAAATAGACCTAACTGGCTAACTTGTGGTTAATTAATTGCCCCATTCAATGATTTTTGTACCTGACCACGGACAGAAAAATTCCTCTTTCATAAAAAAAAAACCCCTTCCACCCTCAGAGAAAAAAAAAACCTGAATGTTCTTACAACATCAGTGAAGAAAAGCTACAAAATCATCACAGCAACAATTCAACATTAAAAAAAGAGAATAAATGGGGTTAAACTTACCCAATTCACCAAGGCAAAGAAGGCAAGAGAAACGAATGGAAGAGCCTCCAGTTGCTCAGGTTTTTATACCGAGTCCCAAGTTGCCCGACAACTTGGGACATTCTTTGTGCATGAAGTTCTTGATGAGCCACTACTGATTACATGGTTTTTTACCTCAGTATTTGTGTTTATTACTGCTTCACTTCCTTATCTTGTGGCATGTATATCTGACCACAAACTTCTTTCATCTTAAAATATTCTGGGTCAAGTTAATTTCTGGGAACACTAGAATGATTAATTCAGAATAATTTATTCTGCTTTCTAAACCCTTTTGGATCTACCTGGTGTCATTAAAGGAGATTAAGCATCGTTTACATAATGCAGTCCCTTGTACCCTTCTCTGCAAGGTAAATGCTGTTGGAAATGGTGAAGAATTTCAGCTTTTGGAATTCAACCCTTCTAGTTTGAGGATTCAAGAAAAAAGAGAATGGGGAAAAAAATGGGAATGGGAAAAAATGGAAATGGGGGAAAAATGGAAATGGGGAGAAAAATGAGAACGAAAAAAAATGGAAATGGGGGAAAAAAATGAAAATGGGGGAAAAAATGGAAATGGGGAAAAAAATGGAAATGGGGAAAAATGGAAATGGGGAAAAAAATGGAAATGGGGGAAAAAATGGAAATGGGGGAAAAAATGGAAATGGGGAAAAATGGAAATGGGGAAAAAAATGGAAATAGGGAAAAAATGGAAATGGGGGAAAAAATGGAAATGGGGAAAAAATGGAAATGGGGGGAAAAAATGGAAATGGGGAAAAATGAGAATGGAAAAAAAATGAGAATTGGGAAAAAATGAAAATGGAAAAAAATGAAAACGGGAAAAAAATGAAAACGGGAAAAAAATGAAAACGGGAAAAAAATGAAATGGAAAAGAGAGACTGATTTTTTTTCAGAAAACAGTCAGAAATATACTCACAATTTTCACCCAACTCCAGCCCCCAAAATGAGAGAAGAACCATGAACACTGTTAAAAGGGAAGGACATTGAGGAACCAACCCTGTGAGAGTCAGGAGGCACTGAAGGGTATTATGGCTGTGTGCAAAGGCTGAGATTTAACTAGAAAAACACTTAAGATCCTGCTTTTTTAACATAGAAGAACAAATAAATTAAAAAAATATTAGAAATCTAAGCTAAGGAGGTTATATCAAACGATAACACATCTGTGGAAGAGTCTGAAGGACAAATTTTATTAATACAGGATCTTTCCTGGTTGTCTCTAATTCTGGGCTTGATCTCTGAGGAGTTCTTTATCTAAAGAATCCACAAATCCACTTTTATTCTTATCTCAGACCTCAAAACATCAGCTACATCATCACACGCCTAAATCTGTGGCATCTCTTGGTGACATTTGTTCTCAAGGAAGAGTTCTGCAAAAGATAAAGCTTTGCAAAACTGTGGCAGAAGAAATCACATCCCAGAATTGTTCCTTTTCCTATTCCAGCATTCATTTTTCCAGCTGTCCCTGGTGCAGATGTGTTAGAAACGAGTGGTAACCAGTTGAAGAAGCATCAAAAATATATATATAAATATATAAAGTGTCATAATCTCTTCACTTGCCATCAATTTTCCTGCAGTTTTTGGATTGAGCAATTAAATTGGGCTGCTTCTATATGGGGGGCTTGCAGGATATATCATAAAGGGGTAAAATATCTCTATATCTTGTTATTTTTATATTATGTTATATTTAAAAGGGGAAATTTCTGTTGTTTTTATAACTGTGCTTAGTTTTACGCTGGGGATATGGTGGTAGATGTGGACTTGGCAGTGTTGGGTTTATGGTTGGACTCGATGATCTTCAAAAAGTCTTTTCCCAGAAAAACAACTTTATGATGGTGGAAAATACAGAAACAATCCTAGAGACAGAGATGAGTACTGAGATTTTTTTTGCTCTCCTAGCACTTTAACTACTGAGACATGTAAATCAGCTCTAAATTAGGAGTGTCTTCGTTAAGATCCCTTGGGAACAGAAACTTGTTTGGCTTGGTCATAGGTTCCTGAGAACTTCAAAGTTTATCAGAAGCTTTTATTAAAGTGCTGGGCATGCAAAGTATCATATTATGTGCAAATTGAAGATATGTGACCTATATTTGAATCCTCATATCACTTCTAATAATGTCTTATTAGGATTTAAGAGTGCAGGTCAGTCATTGGGTTCCAAAATGTATGTTATTGTGCCTGGCTGCAGCAGTAACAGCTAATTTATTTTTAATTAAAGAAAAAAAAAAAGAGCTCAAGGTTTGGTTTAAACCATCTCATATTTCAAGGAGATTATCAAATAAATTGCCCTAGCCTTTTTTAGCTTCACCAACCCTCTCCATACCTCAGTTCTTCTCCATATTCTAAGGGATTAGCAGGCTTTTTCCAAAAATAATTACCTCTCTAGTGGCAGGTACCTTGCAGCTATTTGAGGACTTAATTTGCATAACAATATCTATAGATTAGTTTCATTAAATTTTTTCTTCATCCAAGCTCTGCTTGGAAAACACTGAACACTTTTCAAATCAGATGATGAGTTTAAAAAGAGGATCAGGCAACATTTTCAGAGATGTCTACAGCCTTCCTTGAAAATAATGACAATAATTATTTTTCTAGCTCCAGCCACTTTGTTACACAGTCAGAAGAAATGGTTTGATCTTGGAGATGAATTAAAATGAGTGAATCAGAAGCTCACAGCTTTTTTTTTTTTCTTGTATAATCAAGAACAGACCTATATATTCAGATTATAATTACAATTTTTGGCATAATATGAGAACAGCCTCCCGAGACATCCGTGGGTGACTAAATGTCTAAAAAAAATTAAATAAATAAAATAAAATCTTAATCAAAATGGAACTGGACGCTTAACTCACAGTAATCTCCATGGAATGGCTCCAGACACAAAAGTGATCCTAAAAATCTGTGTATTGAGGAACAAACACACAGAAAATGGAAGCTTTCCTGGCAAGAAGAGTGTTGATCTGCAATAACTTTTGAATTGTAATTAATTAGCTCTTTAAACAGGAACAGGTGCCTCAGAGGCTTTTAACAGTTGAAGGAATCTGGAAAAGTTCTTGCAAGTCAGAGCCCTCCCCATGTCTTTCCCTTCTCCCACCATTCACAACAGCTCTCTGAGTTCCTCCTTTTATCTCAGCCCTCGGGTTTTTTAGCTAATTAGACTAATAAAGATGCTTATTGGCAGCGTTACCAACAGCCAGGTGTCTCCTACACAACCAGCTGAAGTTCACACAATAATGTGGGACACCAGGCTCCAGACCTCTGAGAGTGAACTCTGCTAATGCCTGCACTGTATTAACAATTTCTGATTGATTTCTGGATTAAAACAGTGTGGTGGTTGCACTGGGCTGGCAGCCAAACCCAACCGCTCGCTCACTCCCACCCAGGGGACAGGGGAGAGAATTGGGGGGCAAGGGGAAGGAGACTCGTAGGGTGAGAGAAGAACAATTTAATCATGGAAATAAAATAAAAATTAAAATAGTACTGATATTAAAATAGTAATTATAGTAATAATAGTAATAAAATATGCAAATGAGTGATGCCCAGTGCCATTGCTCACCACCCACTGACCAAGCCTGGCCCGTTCCCAGATCACGATCCTGGAGGAGCGACTATCCCGACCTGAAACCACAAACCCAGGAGAGCCAGAGCCTGAGCGAAAGCCAGAGAGAGCAAGAGAGGAAGAGCCCCTCATGAATCTCCTGCCCATGGGGGACAGGAGATGGAACAGCCCCTTGGCAGAGCCAAATACCAGTTTAGTTTATAAATTTAAACATTCCAAGTCCACTTAGATCTTGCACTTGCAGACCAGCAAAACACAAAGTCCTTCGACTTCCAGTGACAACTGAAAACATCGGTGTGTTATCAATGTTCTTCTCACAACAAATCCCAGCTGAACCCAAACCTCGGCACTGTTCTAGCTGCTGAAAAGAAACCAGCTCTGGCCCAGTAAAAACCAGGACAAATAGAGGATGTATCTAGAGTTTAAGATTGTTTCCTTCAGTCAGACTGGACATCTCTGCGTGGCATTTCCATTTCTATTGCAACCCACCACTCATTATTTGCTGTAATTTGTTGTTTGGCCCAAGCAGTTGAATAGGTGTAATCTGAATGTGTAATCTGAGTTGCTTTTTGGTGTAATCTGAGTTACTTTTTGTGTAATCTGAGGTACTTTTTGTGTAATCTGAGTTGCCTCAAGCTTGCAATTTGAGCTTCACAACTTCATTTTCTGCTGCTCAGTTCCCCTGAAGGCAAAGGTGTTCGAATATAGGTAGATACATAATCCTCAAAGTTCATACCTTAACATGGTTATTTTCATTGTTAATGTTCTTAAAATATTGTTAGGAAGGACTTTAAAACGACTAAAGTTTGACATTTGGTTTTGCATCTTACTAGGGTCTAATAAGCTTCAACAATTTATGTCACAATTTCCCTTTTTGTCAAAAAAAAAAACCCCAAAAATAAGTAAAGTGACATCTGCATACACATCTGTGGAGTAATTCTACAAAGAGCCAGGTGTAGTGTGGTCCTTACACTGGAATTCAATGGGGAACAGTAGAAGAAAACAACAACAACAACAACAACAAATAATAATTTACACTGGAGGGAAGAAATCATTTAATCACCAAAACCTCTGCAAAACACCACACCCCAAAATGGGTGGGCTTTAGTTGTTTTTCAAATATGTTTGAATCATTTTTCAAATATGCTTGAGTCATTTTTCAAATACATTTGAATAATTTTTCCAAACGCAGATGTTAATTATATTTCAAATTGCAAAAGTACAATTAGTGTTTCCCTACCCATGGCCCTGCCTGGCAGATCCACCTTCCTTGTAGAACAATGTCTTGGTGCCACCAAGGCTGAGGAATATTTATTTGCAATCCATCACCTCTGAGCAAGGGATTGCTTAATCGTTGATATAAATTCTTTTCACAAAGCATCGTTTCACGAGATCTCACTCACCTGCATTTTGCTGCAGTTACACGTCAGGTCCCTGATTTTACATTTAGAAACAAATATTTCTTTAGTCATTTTAGGAAGGAACGTTTGGAGCTGGAAACCCAGGACTAACACGCTTTGCCATCTCAGTAAGAAAATAATGGGGTTCATATTTAAAAATAAACTTTGAAATGACAGAATTTTACATAAGGGGTGAAAATTTAACTGTCATTTCACTCCACAGATGCCGGCAACCAGTGAGTGTCCACAAGTACCTCTGCCAAACCCAATTATTTCATCATCAACCCATGAAGATCCACACAGAGGCACCAAGAGCTTGATTGACAACATGAGTTACCAATCTACCTTGAAGTAGCATTAGATAAATTTGCATTAATTAAAAAAAATATATATAAATAACTCAATATGATCTGCAGGAGGTCTCCTCTTAGAACATTCCCCACCCCAGTTCCTCATGGTCACCAGAAACGTTTCTGTTGAACCAGAGGAATCTGGTAACAAGTGGTTTAAGTGGATGGTCTTACCCTCATGATGAAAGTGAGAGTTGGGGAAGGAAATGTACTGAAAGCTCTAGTACTTGTGTACTTGCTAATTGATTTCTGCAAATAAAGCTGCTAATTGGTTGCAAAGTATCTCCCTTGTCTATACAAGATGTTCCCACAGTTTCCTGGCTGTAAAGTGACCTCTTGACCTAAGAGCTCATCAACCAAACTCTTTCTTTCTAATCAACAGGAAAAAGTAGCTTTCAAATTACTACAACAGAGGAACATGAAGACATTTGGTAACAAATTGAGCTGCTAGAAGTTTTCCAAACAAAGACCAGGGGACTTGGATTTGTGATGCGGCGTAACTTTAATGAGAGCAAAAAGCAGAATTAAAAAAAAAAAAGTACAAAGTATAAGTAGATATTTCTAGGATTCAATAAGACAACAGTTAAAATGTCTTTTCATCCTGGGTTGTTTTTTTTTTTTCTCAGTGCTGCTTTGAACTGAGACAATAAAGTCTCATCTACAGCAATAGAAAAAAATATATCTATATTTCATCAGAAGTATGAAGTATTCAAAGAATAAGACAAACAAAGGCCTGATTTTAGGAGATGCCAAACTCTCACAGCTCCATGAACTTCAAGTGTGGAGTTGTGGGTATCTAACATCGCTTCTGAAAACCATGGCCATGAGCTCAGTTCTACATGGGGTCGTGCTTCAGCATTCTTGGTCATTTCTCCTGCTTGCTCCTCAGGCTTTATCACAGCTCGCTAAAGCCACTGCGGTAGTAGCGACGGACGGGTCGGCTGTTCCCACTGCTCAGGCTTGGGTAACCAAAGCTCCCAAATCCTGAAGAGTTGCCAGATGAAATGGGCACTCCCTCGGAGTTGAGGTTGCTGCCCACAGCAGCAGAGGTGGTGGATCCCACAGCAGTGTTCTGGGGGAAGGAGCTGAGGATGGGTCCAGGCAGGGTGACCACCACGGGAGGAGGTTGAATGATGTAGGTTGAGTCTTGGCACTGCCTGACACAGGGCTCGTTGCAGCTGTTGGCCAACGGGGTTGGGCCACAGGTGGTGGGTGGACACAGGTCGCAGGAAGACATGTCTGTAGGACAGAGAGAAGTCTGAAATACAGGAGAGTAAATTCAGCAGAAAAGCTGGATGAAGTTTTAAAAAGTCAGGTGAGAAGATAACAGACGTGAAAGTTTCTAGAAAAGGTGGGCAGAGAGTTAATCATGTATTAGACCAAAATCCACAGCAGGCAGCATGAAAATAGTTTCTCTTATTTTGATAAAGCTGCTGGAGATGTCTCTGCTCTTCATCTGGCCTCTAAACTGTGGTTCCAGTCATGGTAAAACTCAACCAAACCCTTCCCAGCAAAAGCTTTTCCCATTCTTTGGTAGTTTCCCTTTGCACTGTCTCCCTGGAGAAGGTCCAGTTGGGTGTTTACCAGGAGATGGAGAAGAGCAGCTGAAGTTCTCAGCACACATGGACAATGGTGCTGAGCTGAATGTTGCCACGTAACTAGTTTAGTGTCTTAAAACTAGAATTTAGGTGCTCACAGCCCAGCCAGCAGCACTTGCAGGACTATAGAAAAGGGTTTGTAAAACTATAGGAGAGGGTTTGAGAAGCAGCATTTGCTCCCAAATATCATATGTCCAGAACAGGCAAATTTAGAGTGTGAAGAAGGATTATTTTCCCAGATTATATAGAATTTATATAAGGATTTTATAATTATATAGGATTATACAGAATTTATATAAGGATTATATAAATCCTCAGAGGTTTCTGCCTTGATTTGAATTCAATGTATTTGAGTTTGCTGGGATCCCTGCTCTTCTGCCTGTGATAAAACAGGACTTGGGGGGATAAATCCTGGAATTCAGCACAAATTTCATTTTCTTTGCTAGCCCCAGTTTCTTAAAATGAGATTAGATTTCCAACCAGGTTCATTGGCCAGCTAATCCCTTAGTTGAAGTAGTTGAAGCTGCTTGTTTTGAGAGACAATATTGCCCATGTCCTCCGAGTCCTGTCTCGTTACACCCTGCATCACAAGTAAATAAAGCCTTTCCTTTTGCTAGAAGTAAAGCTTTCTAATTTTTCTTCTCAAAAGGAAAAAAAAAAAAAGAAAGAAGCCAGCAATATTTATAAAGAATTAAGAATAACAACAACAACAAAAAAAAGTCATCAAAGTCATAGTTTAGCATTTAAAAAGACACGGGGTAGATTCAGACTTACCTGTTCACCTGGGTGAATAAGGCAAGAGAAGTGGATGGAAGAATCTTGTCTTGTAAAGGCTTTTATACCATTTTCCAAACTGCCTGCAGACCAGAGACTTCAATTATGCATGAAATTATTTAATGATCTGTACATTTGTATGCAAAATCCACCAAACTGATCACCCTTCTTTTTTTTTTTTTCCAAAATCTCTTTTACTATTGCTTTAATTATTTTTTTTTCCCCTCCTCTTATTACATTCACATTCCAGGATCAAGCTTTCATCTTCACCAACGTGCACCCATTTAATTGCTTGCAAGACTGTGGTGACTCGTTGGAATTACAGCAGTAATTACATCACCTCCTAAGGCCAATGTACATTTTCTGTTTCATTTTCCTCATCAAACCACTTGGTTAAGGGGAGTGTATGTGATACATAGTCCTTATTCAAGGCTTCAGTCCTTTAGGTGAATAATAATTTAACTCTGAGGTGGGGGCCTGGGTTTCAATTCATCAGGATTTCCATTTCAAGGACTCAGCTTTACCACTATATAGATATAGATAGATATATATATATATAGATATATATATAAAAAATAGGTATTCCCCAATTTTGCACTTCTGCACTATTTCAATCCCACACAAACCTACAGCTGAGAAAAGCAACTGATTTCCATGTGGATTGCAAAGGTTAAAGAAAATTAAGATGAGTGAGAATTGCTGACCTAAGAGAGTAAAACACGTTCTAAAGCTGCTGGGGTTAAGCCACAGTTTCCCCAGTTTGTATGAATACCAATATATATAAGACTGCAATTTTTTTTACCCAATCATAAATTTAAACTTCATTTTCCATGCCAAACAATCACACTTTTAATGAAACAGCTTGTTTACTTGACACTATGACTTTGTGACATTTATTACCGGCCTTTAATACTTGATAGGATTTCTGTGCCAGCTCTCATCTGAGGATTCACCATGATTCCTACCTGAAATCTCAGGAAGTCACCAGGATACACAATGATTTTCGCATCAAATTATGGATGAATGTGCACATTAAAGATAATTTTCAAGGATTGATTCTTAGAGGCAGTACTCTTCCTGTGCCAAACTATGGCGTCAATAGAAATTACACCCAATATTATCATTATTACATTTATTATTACATGATTTTTTCACCTCAGCAGCCTGCCTGCCCTGGAATTACTTGTTTATATGGAAAATATGTGAAAAAACAGGAATCAGGTCTCTCCTCTTAACACCACCATCCCTCAGCAAGAGATATGAATTAACTCGAAATGAAGAGTGTCTTTACACATAGATTGGGTTTGGTCTTCAGAAGAACAAAGGACTTTAAAGTTCAGAGGCAGCTTCTCCCTAATGGCTCAAATATGCAAAGTTTGATGCTACCTAATGTTCAAGGTACGTGACAAGATCTCAGCATCACCTGGCTAATAACTTCATTTCAAAGTGTGTGAGTCAAGATCACTCAAAGGACTCCACCAACTAATTCAAGGTAAACACCTTCAGAAACATTAATTATTTGATTAAAAATTTTCATAATGGATTTGAAAAAAAAAAAATAATAAAGTCAAACCTTCATCTTCTGTAAAATCCTGTCACTCTACATATTTTAATGTCTCTCCACAATAAAATTCTCCTTTTCTAGAAAAGGAGAGAGGATTTTTCTTCCCTATCCTCAAAATCTCTACTATCCAACGTACTACCTGTAGTCTTTTTATATATTTTTGAAAATATATTTCCTTATAGTAGGTGAAGGCTGGAGAATTTACTCACCTGGAGAATTTATTTCCCTTTCATCTGTACAATGATGAACTTTTTCTCATTCTTCCCTCTAGGGACATAAACAGCATTTCTTGGAGGGTATATAATATTTTAGAAACAGCCTTAGTAACAGCCTGGAAATATTTTCATTGATATTCGGCCAGTTTAATTTAATTAACACCTAGAATCCACCCCAAAAAAATTGAGAATCTTTGGATCTTGGACCTTTGAGGTTGGTGAACCAGGATTATAGATCAGGAATGGAGTTTCACATGAAAAACTTCTATATAAGGACAGAGTGATCCCATGAGGGGCTGGTGACGTTCCAAATTGCCAAAGAGCTGACAAATTCCTGACAGGAATTGAAATTTGTGTCAACTTTCTGTTGACTTCAGAGAACAGTACAAGGCATTCAAATGATCCACAGGTCTTTTGAGGTGAAAGAAGCTTTGAGGAAGGTTTTTTTCATCTGACGCCAGGATGAGACCTAGACTGGTACATAAACCATAAGCAATTTAACTACTGGGAACAATTTAATTGTTGGGGACATTTTAATTGTTGGGGGGATAATTTAACCAACTGCAACAAAAATTATATAATTGGAATTATCTGAATGCCTCAAACCTTCCCAGCATGAGAATCTCTTCAATTTTTCCCCCAAATCTATCAGTTTAGTAGCTTCAGTGGCTGTTGTGAAGCTGGTTTTAATCTCAGGTCCTTACTTTAAGCAAAAAACAATTTCCTTGTGAGGATTTCAAAAGGTTTTAATGCCTGCAAATGTTCTGTATTTATTTTATGTTAACATGCTTCATTCCTTGACATGTTTTTTTTTTATGTTGGATTTCTGTAAAGCTTCAGCCAGGGCAGTAAAGACAAACCAGGAGCCCTAAAACACACGGTACTTAAGGAGTAAATAGCAAATAAATAGATCAAATTCTTTTGATATCTATCAAAAAAAAATCTGTGTGAGTTCCTCCTTTGAGACTTCTGCTACCGTTCATGTTTTAATCCACAAATTCAAGCAGTGATTTCACGGTAAAAGAATATAAATCTTTCTTTGTACCCTGAAGCTTCAGGTCAAAGTTATTGAGAGTGTGAATCACAACCAGATTCCTTAAAACAATATCATTGTAGGAGAGATGAAATACCCTGTCATTCTGTCAGATCAGAAAACATTGCCAGCCTTGAGAATAATTCCTTGGCAGAGATTAAGAAAGCCAAGTATTATGATGAGTCATTGTGGAATAAATATGCATTTCATCTACAAAATTCAATATTTTCTCCATCTTGAGCTCTAAATATACATTCTCCTCTTATTGGTGGCCTCAGTACTATTCATTTCACATCCCTACCAGGTAGTGATGATCTATGCAGTGATGGATTTCACCTAGAAAAAGTTTTAAAAGAAGGCAGGAGGGGAAGGAAAAAAAAAATACCAGAAGACTGGAGATAGGATAAAAGCATCATTTTAATAATATCAAAGAGTGGGTTAAAATACTGCAAAGCAACAGGTTTCAACACAGGAAGAATGGCACATCTGCTGGTAATGTGTTCCATAGACAGAGCTCTTCTTTCAGGGGAGCATTGAATCTTGACAATCAAGTCCCATCTAAATGTCTAAATTATGATGTCTAAATTATAAATGATGTCTAAATTATAAATCTGATATCAAGCAGCGACGCGCAGCAGAACTACATACGTGATCAGAGTAGTATAATAAGAGTAGGGGCTTTATTTTAGGGAATGACTAACTCCCACAGCTCCATGAACTTCAAGTGGAGTTGTGGGTATCTAACATTGCTTCTGAATACCATGGTCATGAGCTCAGTCCTACATCGGGTCGTGCTTCAGCGTTCTTGGTCATTTCTTCTTCCTTGCTCCTCAGGCTTTAGTATGGCCCATAGAAGCCGCTGCGGTAGTTGTTGTAGCGACGGAAGGGTCGGCTGTACCCACTGCCCAAGCCTGGATAACCAAAGCTCCCAAATCCTGAGGAGTTGCCAGAGCAGATGGGCACTCCCTCAGCACTGAGCGCGCTCCCAACAGCCGCAGATGCTGAGGATCCCACTGTGGTGTTCTGAGGGAAGGAGCTGAGGATGGGTCCAGG